TTACTTCTTACTCAAATAAATGCTTTAAAAATGTTTTATTGTGCCTCAGTTTACCTTTTTGCACACGTGAATGAACAATTCCAGATGATTCCAGCCCGAGCTGTCAAGTCACCTCTGGCCTCCAAGTATTCTGAGCAGAAGTTCCAGTGATTCTGGAGCAGAGACTAGCAGTCTCCACTATACCCTCTCAGAATTCTTAGCCCATAGCATCCATGACATAATAAACTGGTTGTTGTTTTGTACCAGGAAGTTTGAAGTGGTTTGTTACACAGCAGTGGATAATTGGAACACTCCCTTATCCTCCAGGTAGCATCTTGGTGAAGGTGGAGACTCCATGACACAGAGGTAGCAGAAAAAGGAGGCACTCTCAGGTGTCTGTGGCTGGACTCTGGCACCTCACTGCTCTCAGTTGTGTCGGCCGGCCTTGTGCTCAGCAAGGTGCAGCTTTTTCTGTTGGGCCTTTTGTAGTATCATCCTGACATTAACTCCTCAAGTCCATGAATTCACCTCGTCTGTCTAGTTGCAAAGTCCCTGCCCAATGGGCTTCTTTGTCTTATCCCCAGATTTCTGCAAAAGACATTTATTCTTGTCTAGGTGTCTTCCCTTGGAAGGAGATGGGAATTAAATCTGTTCAGAAACCATTTCTCTCTCTACCCGCCCCCAAACTCCTGATTGGGCTGGGTGAAGTTCTTACCACCTACTCTTAGGGTTTTTAAAATCCATCCCCTCGGGAGCAGGAGGCTCCGAATCCTTCCAGCACTGGCCTTGCCTTCAGGGTTTCGTTGGAATATTTGAGAGTATCCTGCAAGGAGTGTAGAGGTGGCATCTATATTCCTCTAAGGCAGCAGGAAGTATCGCTGATACCCCAACCTTAACCTCCTACAGTTTCCTCACTGCCTTACCTTGTGGCCAGAAGCCAGGCAAGGCAATCCAGCCCTTCCATGGGAGGGCTGGGCCTCAAGTTCCCGTATTTGGCTTGGACCTCACAGTTTGCATCTTCCAAGGACTCCAAAATAAAGTGCGTTCTTTGTAACACTGGTTTCAAGTGACGCTCCAATATAAAAGAGGATTTGTGGACAATGAGTATAAATGACCTAGGTTTGGATCTAGCTACATCACTTAATATTTTTTTCTTTTTTCCCCCACCTGGTTCTTAGTGTACATCCATCATTTAATCAATAGAATGGGATCTTGGGCACGTCTCTTTACAACTTTATTCTTCATCTGGAACATTTTGATAATGGTTACTTCATAAGATTATTAAAAGGATTAGATGACACTGTAAATTATTCAGTTCGATACGAAGTAACCATAAAACAAACGTTAGTTATGATGAGAAAGTGCACATTAGCAAATTAAAGTCTCCAGAAACTATTTAATTACAGAGAAGGGCTGAATTCTGTCGGACCCAGAACCTTCCTGGTTGGTAATGTCACAGAACCCTTTTCGGTAGCACACCTGTACGTGCGGTGAGAGAATTAGGGTGGAGACTGAGGAGCTGGAGCGGACGGGACGGCGCTGGGACGCGCCCACGCGCGAGTGCGGGGTGCGCGGGTCGGTGAGACCGCCGCTCCCCGCGAGGCGAGGACACCGCAGGGCTTTCCGCCGTTCTGGGGCCGATCGGGCCGCGCCTTTGGACCTGCCCTTTCTCCGCCTCCTCGCTCCGCTCAGCTTCCCTTCCACGGGCTTCTTGCCGGGAACGTCTCGTCCCGTCCCCACTGTCGGGAAGCGAGACCTGCCTTTCCCAGCCTTCG